GTTAACCTGAAAGATATCGTGTCTCATTTATCCAGGACGAAACAACACTGATTTGGTACTCTCATGGAGCAGAAAGGCATCTAACATTATCTTCTGTTACACGGATTATTCCCGGACAGAGAACCGTGAGTTAGCAAAATTATTTCTTTCGAATATTTTTATGTTATAGTCCTTGTAACTTGCAAAACTCAGTGCCATAACCTGAATCTAATCAAATATCAGCTACAACATATAATTATCTGAAAATTTGCTGTGTTTTCCTATTTCAGCCAGTTTTTAGAAGATTTTTGCGCCCCGAGAAGGATTACCTGTCATTTTCTCTGATCTATAATAACGGAGATCGTTCTCTCGATTTGGTCAGTTTCTTTTTTTCTTTTTTACTTTTTTTTGGTTTTTTTTTACTTGATATTTAGAATTGACATGATTTTTTAGTAACAAGTTTTAGCTTGTGAATTACTTCATTTTCGACTTTTAAATTTTAATAGATCTGCAAGGACAAAGTTGAATCTGAGGTGTGGCTTGCTGGCCTGAAGGCTTTAACATCGACCGGCCAAGTACGTAATAGACGTACCAGAAGTGAAATTTATGATGTAAGTTTCCTTCCATCTTACTCTTATCATATACTCTTACATACGGATTCTTTGTCATGCTATCATGTTCTTGGTCCCGGATAGGCATTTATGTGCAAACTCTGTCTTCTTCATGCAAATAAAGACCCCTTACCAGGTCACGATGTATTGTATCACATCCTTATCATTCTCAAAATGTTTTATTCAGTTTAAGTTTCAAGATTTCTTTTCTTCAAGTATCTTTAAACTCCTGAAATCTGGTAACTAGTTGATTTTCTTTAGACTCTTCTGGTAGAATTTCTAAGAAACACAACGGTTTTATCAAGATTTTTCGCAATTTTTTTGTCGTAGTCATTATGTGGAAGCATGCAGGATACAGGACGTGCTCTATCAATTTTATTCTTGTGCTCTATCTTATTCATTGTGTGAAAGCATGAAGAATATTGGACAATTTTAAATTTAAATCTGTCTTGGGCTGCTAAAGTCTCAATTACACTGGACAAGAGTTCATCCAAATCTTAAG